GGGGGGGGGGGGGCGGATCAGAGGGGGGAAAGCCACAATCCTCCCTTCCTCCCTCCCTCCCTCCCTTCCTTCCTTCCTTCCTTCCTTCCTCCCTCCCTCCCTCCCTCCCTTCCGTCTTCCTTCCTTCCTTCCTTCTGCCCTCTCCCCCACTCCCTCCAAGCGCTGTGGGGTTTTCTGACCCACCGCAAAGAGAAGGTCGGTCTTGGTTCAAGAATGGCTGTTGTGGATCACAAGGGGGGGGGCTTTCATGCTCCCTCCCCGGGAGGGGAACCTCTGGGGTGAAGGAGGTGAAGGAGGGGGGGGAAAAACCCTCCGTATCCCAGGGAAACGTTTTTCCAGCTAGGGGGAGGCAAGAAAGGGCGACCCCCCCACTTTGGAACGATGTGCCTCGGGGAGAGCAGCCTCAGGGCGGCCCCGAGAGCCGGTGGACTCCCCTGCATGGGGGGAGACGGGGGGGTGTCACTGGAGGCCAGGCAGCTGTCTTGGGTGGGGAGGGGGAGCTTCCGTTGGGATCCCTGCCCAGAGTGGAGGGAGGGGGCGCTGTTTTTGACAAACCCGTGCCGGCTACTGGCTATGACTTTCTTTGCTTCTAGTTGTTCGCAAATCTGTTTTTTTTATTATTGTTATCTTTTCCAGGATCTTCCCAGGTATTGAGGTTAAACTGATTGGTCTGCAGTTTCCTGGGTCCGTTTTTTTTCCCTTTTTCTTTCTTGAAGATGGGGACCACGTCAGCCCTTTTCCAATCCTCGGGTTCTTCCCCGGTGCTCCAGGATTTGTGAAAGATGTCCTGCAACAGTTCTGATATAACATCTGGTATCGGTTGCCTGAAGGGTTTGGGAGTCTGTGTGTGTGTGTGTGTGTGTCCGCAGTCCCCCCCCAAAATGGTCCAGACCTGTGGGGGGGGGCTTCCTGCCCCCAAACCTAGCCAGCCGAGCCCAGGAGGAGCCCTCAAGCTCTGGCTCCACATTGTTCTAATCTAGGCTCCCTCTGGGAACTGAAAGGGCATCTAGTCCACCCCTCCAGACACACAGAGAAAAGGAGGCTCTGGTTGAGAATCATGAGGCTGGGGGCGCAAAAGGAACTCCTCCCTCCCCTCCGGAGCTGGCATGAAACGCCCCCCCTAAAATTCACCCCCCCCACCCAGACTGAAGGGATTGTCCCCCCCTCCCAACTTTCTCCGCTTCTCTCTCTGCGCCGAACTATCTCCTCTATCGGGCGAAGTCAAGGGAGGCTCTGCCCGGAGACCGATGACGATGAAGAAGGGAGAATTCCCATTGGTCCTTCCGTTTTTCTGGGCCCTCCCAATTACGAAGTCCGAGGGAAACGCCCCCGCCAGACCCACCGATTCCGCCTCTGGGGCTGGGAGCCTCCGTGTCTGTCTCCCCTCTCTCTGGGGGCGCTTGTTGGGCGGCATCCATGGGCTCTGTTGGGGTCCCCCTGATGCTGCTGGCGGGGGCGCTGGCCCGGATCCCCGGAAGCGAAGGGGGGAAGGAGACGCCCGGTAAGGAGGGGGCTCGTAGGGGGGAGGAGAGAGGCCGGGAGGGGCCGTCACTGTCCCTGGGGAAGGAGCGGGCGAAAGGGGGCTGGGACCCCAGTAGTGGGAAAAGGGGTCGAGGGCAAGAGAGGAGGGAGACTACAGGAGCCTCGATCTCCGCGTGGTCTCCGCCCCTCCCTCACTGTATTTCCCCCCCGCAGGAGAATAGGGAGCCCCCCCTTCCCTGGTTGTGGCCGAGGTGGGGCGGGGGTCGTGGGAAGGCAGCCGAAGTGGGATAAGAGGCAGCCGGGCCCCTCTCTCTGTCCCCCCGTGGCTGGGTGGGAGGGGGACCTCGCGGACCCCGAATTAGCGCCTGAGCCCCAAAGTTTCTTGCACTGAAAGAGGAAGGAGACGGAAAGCGAAAGTGAAAGAGGGAAACAGGCATTTTCAGACCTGAATCTACAAATGCCATCAAATGTACAGAGGCGTAGCGTGGGGGGTGCAGGGGGGGCCGGCCGCACCGGGCGCAACATCTGGGGGGGCGCGCTCGCACTCGCAGCTCTCTGCCCCTGCCTAAAGTGC